TAGAGAGAATAGTGCAACAATGAATGAGTGGAAGCCCAAAATCTCTGTAAATGTTTATGAAAATTAATAAAATATAATTATAGAAAAAAAAAGTGGAAGATAAATCTTTCCCACATGCTAAAAAGCAAAAAGATAAACAATCTTATATTCCCAAAATGCAGATTACCAAGGAAATATTTTTTCTTCTCAGGTGACCATTGTTGAAAAAGCTGACAGTTCCAGTGTCTTGCCCAGCCCTCTGTCCATTAGCACAAAGAGTAAAATGACCTTCCTGTTTGCCAACTTGAAAGACCGAGATTTCCTGGTTCAAAGGATTTCAGACTTCCTCCAGAAAACGCCCTCCAAGCAGCAGGATAGTATCAGTGGAGAAAGGAAAGCCAGCATTGTGGATGAAGACCCCAAGGTGAGAGTGGGACCTTGGGGACAGCAGATAGGTCAGGGAGGAGAGTCAGGGGAGCCCCACTTGTTCCCAGCTGGAGAACCTACACTTCCTACTCTTCCTCCTGCTTGGGATCCTGTCTTCTCCTAAGCCTCATTCACACATCTTCTCAGACTTACCATTTCATGGCTGAATTTCCATGAGAAACCTAGACAACCTTCATCTCCATCCTTTATTAACTGCTGCACTATGAACAACAGCCATACTGTTGAGGCCCTGATCAATATTCTGGTTTTTTGTGGGTCCTAAGTGGTGTCTGGAACTACAAGACTTCCCAGATCCCAAGGGCCTCTGATGGGTGGGAGGCTGTTAACCAGCACCCTGCTGGGTTGATGTGCCCTGTCCAGCCTGGTTTTATCTACCTGTTGTTTCACCTGTCAATTCTAACAGATAAGGGTCAATTTTTTTCTTCATTATTTCTTTATTTTGTTGAAAATATGCATAGCTAAGCATTCACTAGTTCTAACAGCTTCTGTGTGTCCACGTCAGTGACACTAATTTGCATTCAAGTTGTCTAGTCATTCTTACCCTTTTTCTCTGGTTTGCTATACCTCCATTGACATAAACACACTGCCCTCTAAGGTTCCTGTCTACTCTTCCAAGTTGCCATTGTCATTTTGATCCCATATAGATTTTAAAAGAGCAGAATACTCAAGGCAGACATTTTTAGTAGTTAATCTGTTGTTTCATTTTTAAGAAGACGTAAAGGGATAATTTTAATTTCTTTTTTAAAGATTATCATAGGGCAAGGGGAGCTCTGTTGCCTAATGGCAAGAAGCTATACTACAATCCTGAATGTGTGCAGTTTGAATCCACCAGATGCTCCGCTGGAGGAGGGGCAAGCTCCTCCTGTGCCAGTCAGATCCAATTCGATGGTACACTAAATTAAAAATAAATAAATCAATCTTTAAAAAAAAAAATATTATCATAGGGCAGTAATTTGTTGTTTTGTTTTTTTTGTTTGTTTTTGTTTTTTGAAAAAAGATGGACTTTATTCAGAAGGTATTTTCAACTATTTGCATGCAGAGTTGCTAAATTAAAAGTTGACAGTTTGAATCTACCAAGTGCTCTGTAGGAGAAAGACAGGACAGTTTCCTCATGTAAAGATTGACAATCTCCTAGACCCAATAAAGAGTAACTACCAGTCTGAAGTGACTAGAGGACAATGAGTTTGGTTGGTATAGAAGTACCCAAGTATTCTTGAGAATCATGGTGTAATTTAAGGGCTCTTTGCTGGATGGAAGCTATGACTTTGATGTTAATTAGAAACAGAAACAGGATAAGGTTCAAGCGCCCTGGATGATTCAGGCACCCCACAAAACCAAATTGTCTGCAAACTTGTTGGCTGATCTAAGAAGCTGAGCAGCTTGTGAACTCTATCTTTCTTTTTTTTTTTGGAAAAGAAAAGAAAAGATTCTTTCATTGTTTTACAAACCCTCCCCCAGGTCCCCTCCACCATGCAGCCCTCGCTCTAGTCTCCTGTGATGACAGAAATACCCAGTTACATCTCTCTTTTAGACGGTTCTCTCCCTCCTCTGCTTCAGTGCAGTATACATTATTGAACCCATCTTACTCAGTGTCTCCCCAACCCCAAGGACAGTCCCATTCTACAACAGTGGCATCATGTAATATTTGTCCTTTTGTGACTGGGATATTTCACTCAGCATAATGTTCTCCAGAGTCAACCATTTTGAATAATATTGCATGAGTTCCTTGTTTTTTAATGCAGCATAGTATTCCATTGTGCGAATATACCACAGCTTCTCTAGCCATTCGTTTGTTGATGGGCACTTAGGTTGTTTCCAACTCCTTGCTATTGTGAACAAAGCTGCAATAAACATGGGTGTGCATATATCTGCTTGGATGTCAGCTATGGTCTCTTCAGGGCATATTCCCAGTAGTGGAATTGCTGGGTCAAATGGTATCTCTATTTGCAACTTTTTGAAAAAGCGCCATACTGCTTTCCACAGGGGTTGCACCATTTTACACTCCCACCAACAGTGAATCAGGGTTCCAGTTTCTCCACAACCTCGCCAGCATTTGTTGCTTGCTGTTCTGTTAAATTTTGCTATTTTGACTGGGGTGAAATGATATCTCATAGTTGTTTTAATTTGCATCTCTCTTAGGGCTAGGGATTTTGAGCATTTCTTCATGTGCTTGTTAGCCATCTGAATGTCGTCTTCGGTGAAGTGCCTGTTCATATCCTGTGCCCATTTTTCTATTGGATTATTTATATCATAGGGCAGTAATTTGAAGGGAGTTCATCTGTCTTCCATGGCTCCAGAAAATCCAGTTAAAGAGAATTTAACTTTCTGTTTTGTACTTTCTCCCATTTGATCAAGATTCTTCTATATAATCTTTGATCATAATATTCTATGATGGTTGCTGGGCACCATCTAGTTCTTCTGGTCTTAAAGCAAAAGTAGCAGTTGACCCTGGAAGCCGGAACCCTCCTCCTTTAAAGTCTTAACTGCAGTGCCATAATTGTACCAAAATTAACAGTAATTCCTGGAAAAAATATACTCCTGTTGAGTTTATTCTGACTTAGGGTAACCATATGGTACATATTAGAATTGCCCCCTTGAGTATCCAAGACTGTAAATATTAACAAGCGCATGCTGCATCCTCTTTGTCCTGCAGTGGGGCTGTGAGATTCCAGCTACTTAGTTAGGAGTACAACATTGAACTCACTGCACCAGCAGAGCTTCTAATCACTAAGTATCGTCAAATACTTGTATTTACATTTCCCCAACTTTAGATGTATTTTTTACCCTTAGATTATTTGAATTGGTGTGTGTGTGTGTGTGTGTGTGTGTGTGTGTGTGTGTGTGTGTAGGCCATGCATTCATTATTTGTTGATATATCCCTCAGATGTCATTAGCTGCTGTTACTGTCAGTTACTCTCCCTCACACACCGTATAGCAACTCTGTGCAGTGTAGAGTTATAGCTTTGTGATCCACAGAATTTTCTTTTGCCAGATTTTTATGTAGAGAGGCTTTTCTTCCTGGTCTTTCTCTTAAATTCTTTTTCGTTTATAGATTTCTACTCTTTTTCTGTCTCTTTCTTTTTCTTTTCAGTATTTTATTGAAGGAATCAGGTCATTTGTGTGGAAGAGTTTCTGACACTCTGGTTTTTGCTGGTTGCACATTCTGTAGGTATTTAATGCCTGTCTTTGTCCCGTGTTCCTTTTAAGCTGGTAGTTGAATAAGGAGATCCTGCGGCTTGATCACATTAGGCTCAGTTGAGACTTTTTCAGTCAGACTCCTCCTTAGGCCAGATGGAAGTGCTGTGTATGCAACACTAGCCATCACCTTACGTGGCCTGTCAGTTGTTGATGCTCACTGCCTACGTCGTCTTTCATTGAGATTGCAAGATGGCAGCACTCTAATTGTTTAGTCTCCTTCCTGTGTGTGAGCTGGTATATTTGTATAAAGATAACTTTCCCCTTCTCAGCTATTGGGTTATCTTGAGGTACGATCCATACACTCCTTCACTGCCATCGAATCAGAGCTGACTCATAGGTGACCCTCTAGTGGGTTTTCAGAGGCTATGAATTACACAGGAAGTGATTGCCCATCTTTCTCCCTTCAAGTTGCTGGTGGATTAGAAGCACTAGAGTGGCGTGGCCTTTGGGTTTATGCAGGAGAGGCAGTGCTTTATTCTGTCCTTTATGCACCTTGTATCAAAATAATGAGTCTCCAGATGTGGTTTATTGAAGAGTAATGATGTCAGTTTGAGGCTTAAGGTGAGTCTGATTCAGGCCACAGTCTTTCTGATCATTTGCTATACATCTGAGAGCTTGACAGTGAATAAGGACGACAGAAGAAAATTTGATGAGAGCTATGGTGCTGGAGAAGAGCTCTGAACATCCCATGGATGGCCAAGAGAACAAACAGATATGTCTTAGAGAGGGTGAAACCGGAGTACTCTTTGGAGGCAAGAATGATGAGGCTTTGCCTCACATACTTTAGATGTGTTGCTATGAAGGGCTATTCCTTGGAGAAGAACATGATGCTGGGAAGGGTGGAGGGTCAGTGAAGGAGGGAAGGACCCTCAATCAGGTGGACTGACACAGTGACTGCTGCAATGGGCTCTTGTGTGTCAGAAGGTGTGAGGATGGCACCAGATAGAACAGGGTTCAGATCTTTTCTTCATAAGGTCACTATGAATCATACTCAACTTGATAGCACCTAATACCAGCAACCACCAGATGTGGTTTATGATTATGTTTTAGTATGTTAAAATTGTCCTTAAGAATACTAAGTTGTCCCATCTATACCAGGAAGATGCTTACTCAAATTGGGTCCTGGATCCTTTGAACACAAAGCTTGTGGTCTCCTCCAGTAGTTTCCTTGCTTCCTGATGGGACTGCTTAATGTCACGGGTATGTTATTGTTCATTCTGAATTTGCAAAACACGTAACCATTGAAGAAGCTCATATAAAAATCTATATACCTAGCTTTTCTGAAACACTCAGCAGTATTGCATTCCAGGGCCTGTGTTTCCACTAAGGTCCAGCAGGTTACAGCTCAGGGGTGATCTATACCACCGAGAACCGACTTGGTCTAACCCTTGGGAGCCTTTCACGTAGGTGCCCAGTAAATTATTAATTAGGACTGGGCATGAAGGGAGTAGGTGAAGTCCATGTGGGTTGGAGACATTAAGGTAAGTCTGTTCTGTGGACTATGTATGTTTCAAGTTACCCATTTAAAACTAGTCTTTTCCTTTTGTGATTTGAGTAAAAGGTTTTTTCTTAGTGAAGTTTTATTTTAATTATTATTTTAACGAATGTTTACAAAGAAGTTAGATTTTCATTTGTTCATTGTTGCACATTTTACTCCCTCGCCCGCCCGTCTTCTTCCCCCAGTTCACTTTTTTTTATTATTTGTTCCTTGATGCACAATTACCTACCCACCTACCTCCACCACAAGTCCTCTATGCAAAGAATCTCATTCTGGGCTATTGTCACACATATAATACCTAATCATATATTCCTTTTAGACAGTACTTTTTCTTCATCTGTTCCAATGCAGTGTTCATTACCTGTCCACACTTATCATATTCTCCTCCCAACCCCCTCATGTCAGACCTGCTTTATAATAGTGATGCTAAGCAGTACTTGTCCTTTTGTGACTGAGATACTCAGCATGATGTACTCCAAGGTTCCCCATTATATGTAATGTTTTATAAGTTCATTGTTTTTCAGTGCTGCATATTATTCCATTGTGTGAATATACCAGTTTCTCTGTCCATTCATTTGTTGATAGGCACTTGGGTTGCTTCCATCTCAGCAATAAACATGGGTATAATTTGAGTAAAAGTTTTTAAAGTTTCCCCTCAACCATTCATAAACTTTTGTTTTATGATATGAGTCACAGTACCCATAATGTAACCCACACTGTGCTCACTTCCTCCCTATAAGTCTCATTTTCATCAGTTTTTCTGTGCTCTCCTTTCCTGCCTTCTGCGCTTTGTCCCTGGGCAAATGCTGCCCTTCTTTTCATACGTGGCTGGTTATTCTAAGGGGTGAGTGCCTCCCTCATGGTATTATTCACCTTATAGGCCTGTCTGCTGTTTGGCTGAAAGTGAACTATGGGGGTGAAATTTATTCCAGGTTCAAAGGTATGTTAGAGTTACATAGTATGTAGTCTAGGGGGTTTTATCAGCCCTCTCTTGGACCAGTAAGCCTATCCAGTCTTAATTTTTTGAGTTTTTGCCCCCACTCATTCTTTCCAGGACCTTTCACTATGCTCCCCTCTAGAGTGGTCGACAGTGGGAGCCAAGAACTACCTAGTTCTTCTGGTCTCGAGTGTGGAGGTTGAGGTTCATGTGGGCCACCAGTGATTTGGACTTGCTAGTTCAGTTCGGCTTTGCCTTTTTCTTCCCTCAAAACCTTTAAATGGAAACAATCTGACCAAAAATTTGTTGGGATTTTAAGACTCATTTAAATAAAAAAAGACTTGAGGAAAAATTACTAATAGATAATAGTGATTCTAGTACAGCATGGTATACATAATTAACATCACTGAATTGCATACATGAGAAATGGTTGAGATGGGCAGTGCTTCTTATATACATATCACTGTAATTAATTTCTTTACAAAGTTTTCTTAGAGGGAATTGGGCTTGATAAGGGATTTCAGGAGTGATTAAAACACAGTTGGGTAAAAGGGATCATAAGCAAGGTTTCTGGGCTGCCTCTGCCTTCAAGAGGCCTGGTGCTGGGGGACGGGGGAAGGGAAGGTGAGGGGGCAAAACGTGCAACAGTGAGTGAATGAAAATCTAACTTTTCTGTAAATTTTCATTAAAGAAACCATCAAGTCAACCTTAACTCATAGTCACCCCATGAACACCAGATCTGAATCTTGCTTTATCCTGTGCCATCCTCAAAATCTCTGCTACCCTGGAGCCCGCTGCTACAGTCACTGTGTCAGTCATGCATGCCGGGAAAGGTGGAAGTTCAGAGAAAGAGAGGCAGGCACTCAAGATGGATTGAGGGGACAGGGGAAAGAGTAACGATGCAAGCCAGAATATTACCATTGCAGGAAGCAAATTATTAAAATGTTTTGGTGACCAAAGAAAAGAGACCTAGTGCCAGGAAAGTGCCTGACCACTCAGGTGAGCTTGAACCTATGGTTCCACCAGCACTCACCTTGCTTGGGATCCGTGCTGTGTTCTCCCTTCCCAGAAGGCTTTATACCTTAGCTCACGGGGGCCACAGGACTCAAGAGCCCCACTCTCCGTCTGCATGCTTTCTCTCGACAGCACCAACAGACAAGGCTCAACAAATTGTGAGCCTGCAGGACTTAAATGGACAGGCTGAGTCTGGGAAAGACCACCCCTAGTGCCACAGGATGAGCACTGCTGGTTCCTGGGCCCTACGGGAAGTTAGGGCAGTGGGCATAAGCCAGGTAACAAAGGTGGCTGCCAAAGGGAGAATGAGGAAGTGATCCCAGGGACCATTCTCAGGGAGTGAGAAGATTAGTCAGATTCTTTGTACTGCTGGCCTCCAGGTGGAGGGGACACATAGACTCACGGAGAGATCTGGAGAAGCTTCAGTAGCGCAAGCTCTTCTCTCTTCTGCCTGGCCTCCGTGCAAGACAACTCTGGAGAGCAGAGCATCAGAGCCTGTTTTGTGGGAAACCGTTGTGTTTGGGCTGGGTTATAGGGAGGATGAGTGTAGGTCTGTAGGTGACCAGAGAGAAGATGGGGCCAGGCTACCACAGTGACACCACTGTGCACTCCAGACTCTGTGTATCACTCACCCTGCAAACACCCTTTCTTCCCGGTGACGAGGTCTGCCTCTGTGGTTTGATACACCCTGCGCTGGGAAGCTCAGTTGTTCAGTGCTCCCTTCCTTCTGTTATTTTCTAGTCTCCCTCGACTCCTCAGGAGGTGTTGGAGCAGCCTGCCAGCCCTTCCTCCACCCTCAGTGGCTGCCCGAGTTTCTCTATGCAAGAAGTGCCAACTGCATCCCAGGGCCTGCTCAAACTCTTCCAGAGAAACTCACCCACGGAGGTTCTGGGGGCTAAAGGGGTAAGTGCTGAAGTTGGTGCTTTGGGTGGGGGCACAGAGAGGAGTGGTGCTGGGTCAAAGTGAGACAGGGCCAGCGTTAGCCCTGTACCTCGATAGCTGGCCTGGCCTCAGCCACTCCTCCTCAAGGCTGACTGTGGATGGTCCCCTGTCAGGATTGTAAAATGGACTTCTGTTAGGTCAGATGAGGCCAGCAGCCCAGCTCTCTGGGTTGGAGGTGGGTGGTCTTCACCCTGTAGCTTTAGGGCTCTGAAAGGGAAGGCTTCAGCTTCTGAGCTCCTGATGACTTAGCAGGGTATGTAGCCTTGTGAATTATTTACAAAGGGGGCTTCCAGCCCTGCTAGGTAAAGTGAGGGGGCTTTGTAGTCTGCACCCATCTAGTGAGGCAATAGCACCTCCCCACAGACCCTGTCTCCTTTCCCACAGGCGAAGGAGAAGATGAAAGAGGAGTCATGGAACATCCACTTCTTTGAGTATGGGCGCGGTATGTGTATGTACCGCACGGCCAAGACCCGGGAGCTCGTCCTGAAGGGCATCCCCGAGAGCCTGCGGGGGGAACTGTGGCTCCTCTTCTCTGGTGAGCAGGGTCCAGCTGTGCAGAAAGAAAAGAAACTGCATGTTCCTCCTCTGTTAGTCCATTTGATACTTGGGCCACCTCTTGGGACACCTTCATTTCAGGAAGGAAATCAAAGCCCCAGACAATGGGACAGCTTATACCAGGCTTCAGCAAGAGAGGTCCTGGGGAACAGATGCCAAAGGTGGGCGTTGCGGAAGCCTGATCTTCCCGTCCACCCATGGTGGACCTTGCAGGCTCCCTTCTGCCCACATGGAGCCTCACAGGGACCCTTGCACCCAGAGTGGGCCTCACGGGCTCCCTTGCACCCCTGGTGAGCCTCTTGGACTTCCTTGCACCTGTAGTGAGCCTCGCAAGCCTCCCCTGCCTACTTCTTTGTGTCAGATGCTGGCAACATCTGTAGTCTGGACTATTCCAGGACTTCAAAGGGAAGGCTAATAAGCCATTTGAACTCTCTGTTAGATGCATCTTTCTGGGTACTTGAGGAAAGCTTTGCCTATACCTTCCTTGTATCTAATTCCAAAGGCTCTCCTTGCTGTGGTTTCCTGACACTTCTACCCTGTCCTGCTTTTGCTCCTAGACTATCAACAAAGGAGAGAAACAACTGTTCTTGTGTCTCCACAGGGGCCTGGAACGAGATGGTCACTCACCCTGGCTACTATGCTGAGCTGGTAGAGAAGTCCACTGGAAAATACACCCTGGCCACAGAGGAGATCGAGCGAGACCTGCACCGCTCAATGCCAGAGCACCCCGCCTTCCAGAACGAGCTTGGGATCGCTGCGCTCCGCCGAGTGCTGACCGCCTATGCCTTCCGGAACCCCACCATCGGCTACTGCCAGGTGAGGGGTGTGGCAGGCCCCAAAAACAGCATATCCTGTCAGGGCTCCCAGGATTAAGTCCCCACAACTCAGCCTTGCATCCTGGCTCCCAATCAGAATCCAATAGCACGTGCTACAACATGAATGAACCTTGAAAACTTACGGGTTTAAATAAGACCATTCCAAAGTGGCAGTGTATATATGATCTCACTGACATGAAATAACTACAATAGGCCAACGCATAGAAACCAGAGTTTATCAGTGGTTCCTAGGAACAAGCAGGAGCAGAGCGGGTAAGTCATTGTTTAGAGGACACTGTGTTAAGTGGAAAACTTTGTAACAGTGTTGATGGTTGACCAACATGATGAATGGAATTAATGTCACTGAATTGTACATATAAAACAGTGATCCTTTTCCAGTTCATGAACTGGAAAGCATGATTGGGTGTTCATGCTTTTGTATGGTATGTGCCTCCCTTAAACCTTGTTACCACATTATCCGTCTGATGTGAAAAAAACAAACAAAAACCCAACAATGTTGAAATGGCAAATGTTTTATTAAGTATAATGGGCTGCAAATTTATTTATTTCTTTTACAAAAAGCCTTAGCAGAATATCTATTCTATATCAAACACAGACCCTGCCCTGAAAGAGCATGTCTAGTAGAGGTAACACATTTAAATAAAAATCATAATTCAGAGGGTAAAACCCAACAATTTGTTGTATGCTGCTGTGTTGAAACCGACCCATAGTATGAACCTCACTGTCTTGGTTACCACAAAGAGGTACCTTTAAGAAACGGTGTTTTCCTTCAAAATTCGGAAAATTGAGTGTCCAAATTCAGGACATCAATTCTAGAGCTAGGTCCTTCTTTGTCTGCAGTTCTTGGGGTTCCTGGGCTTATAGATGCGTCTGCCTCCATCTTCACTTAGCACCCCTGCCTTTGCGTGCCTCCCTGTATCTATCTCTTCTCCTTTTATAAAACACCACTCAGAAGGAATTAGAAGGATTTAGGACTTAAACAGCAATGGGCTTTCTTAGTCTTGGTGGTACATTAGTTAAACATGAGCTGCTGACTGAAAGGTTGATGGTTTAAACCCAATAACTTCTCCTTGGGAGAAAACGTCAATACACTGCTTCCGTAAAGACCTGCAGCCTCAGAAACTCTATGGGGCAGTTCCAGTCTTTTTGTAGGATCTCAGTGAGTCAGAATTCACTCAGCAGCAGTGGGGTTTTCTATTCCTGTGTGCCCTCATTCACATAAAGAAAACCCCAAACAGTGTTTCATTCACATAAAGAAAACCCCCAACAGTGTTTCCAAACAGTGTTGTGTTTACAGGTACAGGGTTTGGGATTTCCATATATCCTTTGTGGAACACGGTACAGTTCCTAACACCCTCGTCTCCCTGTGTCTATGCCCACAGGCCATGAACATCGTGACATCAGTGCTCCTTCTCTATGGCAGTGAGGAGGAGGCTTTCTGGCTGCTGGTGGCCCTCTGTGAGCGGATGCTGCCTGACTACTACAACACCAGGGTGGTGGGTGAGTGTTCTGAGAGCCAACCAGGGGGACAATGGGATGTGCTGCCACACTGCACACTCCAGCCATGGGGTACAGGTTGCAGCTCCAGCTGCCCAGTGGCTTTCTGTGGGCTGGTGGCCTCCCCAGGCAAGGCCCCGTGTTGTGTGCATGAGCGCGCCAAAGCTCTCCTGCCATCCTGCAGGACAAGCACAGTCACAGTTCTCATCTACGGATCAGGAACTGAGACAGTCACATGCTGAAAGCAGAGGGCCAGAGATGTCCCCATTCGCCTGAGGCCACAGCCCAGACTTTGTGTGGATTCCTGCAAGTGAATGACAGTGATAGAAGACAGTGCATAGCTAATGTTTTTCAGATATGTTTTGGGCTTAAATTCCCATCTGCCTAACTTTTTTTAGAAGCTTGTTTGTGGTTTTGGTTTTGGTTTTTGTTAAGTGCCATCATAGGTGACTCAGAGCAACCCTATGAATGAAAGTCCTCAACACTTGCATGACTTTGATCCTCTCTCCAGGTCCATAGGGTTTCTGGAGGGAAGCTATTAGGGAAGTGGATGCCACTCCTGCTTCCAAGCTTGTTGTAACCAGGTAGCCCCACCAAACACTGTCCACCATACTTCATTATATAAAAGAAACATAATTATGTTGTATTTATATGTTTCTTTCTTTCTAAACATTAAGGAGCCTGGGAAAATGCTAAAAAGTTTAAACATATTCATATATAAATGTAATAAACCTCCTTGTATCTAGCTTCAGCCATTGAACTCATAGCCTGTGTTATCTGGGTTATAGAAGAGAAATTGGCTTGCATATTTACACAGTCATGTCTAGAATTATGTCTTTGTTGTTCCTTCCCTGCTGTCTTAGTGTCTTTTGGCTGCAATAATAAAATACTACAGAGTGAGTGGCTTTAAAGAAATGTATTGTCTCACAGCTCTGGAGGCTAGAATGCAGATGGCAGCAGGTTTAAACTCTGTCACTGTCAGCTTTAGAAGAACGTCTCTCTGTGTGTCTTTGGACTTCTGGTGGCCCTTCGCATTTCTTGGTGTCCTTACCTAGGAGTTGTTCCCCATGTGGTTGCCTTTCCCCCACATGACTCTGTTTCTTCTTCCCTTTTACAAAACACCACTCAGATGGCATTAGGACCCACCCTTCTTACTGCAGTATGACTTCATGTCAGCCTAACTTAGAACAAGGTCACATTCACTGGTACAGACGTTAGGATTTCAGCATACTTTTTAGGGGCACAATTAACCCTGCCTTTTTTTTTTCCTGGATTTTCTCATGGTCCTTTAGCATCTCATCTTATTTCATAAGAGTTAGGACAGGACAAACAAACCACTTAGGCCATTGTTTACTTCTAATTATTTAGGGGAAATCACCCCAAAACAAAAAATAAGTGTACTAGAAGTACTTCTTTGCACACAATGACGTGGAAGTTGTGGAAAGAATACTTAAAGGATTTATTTGTTTTCCCCTTCAGTCACTGACCATACAAGGAACAGGCCAGGGCAGGGACATTTGGTGTGCTGTCCCTCAAATGCTAGTGTTCCATGTGAGCCTGCCTGAGACCTGGAGAGTGGGAGCCCACTGACTTCTCCCTCTGTGCAGGTGCCCTGGTAGACCAAGGTATCTTCGAGGAGCTCACAAGAGACTTCCTGCCGCAGCTCTCGGAGAAGATGCAGGACCTGGGGGTGATCTCCAGCATCTCCCTCTCTTGGTTCCTGACCCTCTTTCTCAGCGTCATGCCCTTTGAGAGCGCCGTGGTCATTGTAGACTGCTTCTTCTACGAGGGCATCAAGGTGGTCCTGCAAGTGGCCTTGGCCATCCTGGATGCCAACATGGAACAGCTGCTGGACTGCAGTGATGAGGGCGAGGCCATGACAGTCCTGGGCAGGTGACCGCCACCCACTCCATTTCTCTCCAGCCAGGGAGCTTCTGCGTGTTGTCTTGTGGGTGGTCGAGGCCACTTCCTCACCATGGCTCTGTCCGTCATGTGCCAGGTCACTCCCAGGGAAGAAGGGAACTTCCACCCCAGACCCCCCAGACCAACTTTTAATGCTGGGGAACCACAGGGCAGTGTGCGGGAGCACAGCGTCATCTGTGACACATTCTGAGGGCATGGCTGGGAGCTAAGACCTAAACAAGGTCACTCCTGCAGGATCAGGAGATGTCTAAGACATCTGCTTGCAGCCAGAAGAGACAAGGAGCCCTTGTCCAGAGAATGCTGCTCTGGCTTGGCAGCGATGCCACCCCCACACAGGGAGGGAACAGCTCCGTCGGCTTCTACAGTGAGCATGCGGACACCGCCAGCCTCACTACAGATGAGATCTCAAGGCCTCCTCCTCCCTGAGTCCCACATCCCATAACTCACAGCTTCTCCTCACCCCCACTGTTCAGTGCAGGCTGCCACATCCTCACCTGGACCCTGTCCTCCTCCACTGGTTTCCCCTGCCAGCATCTCTCAGGTCCCTTTCTAACCCGATCTGACCTTGCCCTTCCCTTGCCTACACACTGCTGCTGCACCTATAAAAAGGAGCCGAGTTTCCACTCTGGCCTCCAAGTCTCGCTCATCCCCATGCTTTGTGACTGCATGGTCCCACCTGCCCTGTCCCTCTCTCTCTCCCACCACAGAACAGAGCTAGCTCAGGCATCTGCCAACGGGGACCTTGTGGTTCTGCAGGGATGCTGTCTCCCTGCCCTGGCCTCTGATCTTGCTGTATCCCTGCAGATTCCATAGCATATGACCAGTGACCAGAACCTGGCTGTAATAGACAGGTTAGGCCTTCCTCAGGGCTTAGGCAGCTGGGGATGAAGCTGGGCCTTTGGTGCAGTAACTGGTTACTGGAGGTTGTGACTCGCAGACAGTGCCCACAGCAAGGCCCTCCCCCACTGCCTCTGTTCCTGGGACTTACTCCTGTGGTCCCTGGTTCTCCCTGACTGTAGTAAACAGTGTCTCAGCAGGTCTGCTGTGGACCAGAAGGCATTTGTGACTTGCTTTGTTTCCTGCAGCAGCAGGCCTCTCAGCTCTGCCCAGGGCCCTGTGCCTGTAATCCTAGGTTTAGCCTCTGCCTGAGGATGAGAGCATGTCATCTCCTCTAAAAGGCACAAGGCTTTATCCTCTGTGGTAGGGTCTTAAATATTTTGTTGTGTTGTTGTTATGTGCCGTCGAGTCGCCTGTGACTCATAGCGACCCTATGGCTTTTAAATATTTCCTGCCAGAAGAGACCTTCAGGTTTGATGCTCATATCTTAGGATGGTGCATCTGTCCTGCTGAGTAGGAGATGGATCCTGCATGGTCAAAGCATACCTGTCCATCTCCCCTGTCCACTTTCTCCCACTCACCTCCATCCCCCAGTGGCCGATCATCAGTGGGAGTCTACATGCAGACAAGGCCCCTGTGCCTGTGGGTTATAGAGACTGATAACTGTCTTTTGTCCTTTAACACTGCAGATACCTGGATAATGTAGTCAATAAGCAGAGTGTTTCTCCCCCTATCCCACACCTCCATGCTCTGCTGACCAGTGGTGACGACCCCCCTGCCGAGGTGGACATCTTTGAGCTCCTGAAGGTGTCTTACGAGGTCAGCACTAAGGGGGCCAGTTGGCACTTGTTGGGATTACGAGAAAACAGGCACTGTGGCCATGCATGCATTGTCTCACTGAGTCCCCTCTGGCCACCAGAAATTCAGCAGCCTGCGAGCTGATGACCTTGAACAGATGCGATTTAAACAGAGGCTGAAAGTGATCCAGTCCTTGGAGGACACGGCCAAGCGGAGCGTGGTATGGACATAGTCCTGGGGTTGCAGGCGATTAGGGTAGTATTGACAAGGGAACTGCAGGCAGAGGTCGAGGTGGGCTGGCAGCCCCTGACAGAGGGCCATTCTGTGTCCCTAGACCTTCTGTGGGTAGAGTGGGCAGTAGAGCTCCATGTGGGATCTTGTCCTTGGTGTCCTGGGCCCACATTTGAGGATGTGCTGCTGCATGACTACATACCAGGGGTATCATGAATTTGGGGTAGTGGGTTATTTCTGCCCATAGGTTAGTCCATGGGAAAACCCCTCTGGTCCCTAGCCTGCCCTTTGTCCCTTCTTCTGAGGTCACCACCCTCTGCCTCTTGATATGCTTCCCTGCATCTCTGGAAGGGGTCAGGTTCTCTCTGGAGTTGTCCTCAGCCCACCACCTGCCAGCCTGTGCTGCTGTGACCTGTTCATGTGAAAACACTTTGGCCACAATCACAGGAAACTGACTAACTTAAGAGAAAAATATCTGGAGAGTTCTGGGTCATTTCCCTAGATCCTATACCAGGGTCTTTCTGGGCCGTACACACCAGGAGCCAAATGACATCTCATTTCATGTCCATTTGCTGGGTATCCAGGGTGGGAAAGGCTGACCAGCCACCTGTGTGCCTTAGGCCACACCAAGGCTCCCCTCTGTCCACCCCACTCGAGGAATGTGGCCTGACTGAATCAGTGACAGGGATATCCTTGGAGACCATACACTTGTTCCTGATTGTCCCTGGGCACTGGGTCATCCTTATTGAATGTTCATCTGACAGGATGTCACCCATAGGTTGTATGTCTTTAAAAAAAGTCTTGTTTGTTTAACATAACAGGAACTTAAGAATCCATCAGAACATCCTGTTTCTGCTTCCTTCTAGGTTCGAGCTATACCTGGAGACATTGGTTTCTCTCTTGAAGAGCTGGAGGACCTGTACGTGGTGTTTAAGGTGACAGCCAAGATTACGCCGCATCATCTCCCATCCCCTCCCGGGGCTCCCTGGCACTCATTGCCATCAAGTCAGAGCCACTCATAGCCAACCCACCATTGGGTTTCATATGGGAGGAGGTTGCCTGGCTTTCTCTCACAGAACCACCTCCATACCTCTCTTGTAGAGTAGCAAGAATTAATGCTTGGTCCTCTGAATGTGTCCTTGGCATAGCACAAGGAGAGTAGATTGAAAAGCACATTTGGGTGTAGTGACCATGAACCTCAAATTGGTGGGATTTAGTCATTCTTGAAAATTAGTCAGGATCCTATTTCAGGAAACAGAACATCAGATCAAATCAGCTTATGTGAAAGAGAAAATACCTAGGTTCATAGAACCAAAAGTCTGGGGTTGTACAGCGTTAGGCATGGCTGGGATTGGGTCCAGACACCCAGATGTTCTGTTAGTCATCCTACCTTGCGCCTTCCCTAGAACACTCTTCCTGCAGAGAGGCAGGATGTTGGCAGCAGCGCCTGGGTCATCCTGACCTTTCAATAAGCCCAGTGGAAAGAGCATTTTTCTTTCCAAATTACTTTTCTAAAAGTCTTTTCTTGGGCTGACTTGCATTAAATGCCCTGACTGACTGGCATATGTGCTGTCAGAGGATGTCATCTTCTGCTGGGTGACGCAGGTCACACGCCCACCCCACCCATCACTGACTGCGAGGCTAGTCAGTGCCTCCCTCTCCCCACAGTCTGAGGGTGTAGCAGGAGGGTTCCCCAAGGAAATTTGACGTGTTACTAACAGAAAAAGGGGAAAGGGTGCTGAAGAGAGGGAGAAACAACAAATACCACAATGCTTTTCTTGGACTTTTTGTTTCTCCAAGTCCCTCTAGTTTGGTCAGAAGAGTACATTTGCTTGCTGTAGACCACTGTGCTAGTAGTGACTGTGACCCTGGCCTACTGTGACCCGGCACAGGCTGTTGGATGGTCTCCCACTAGCCAATCCAGCCGTCCTAACAGCCTGACCAGGAGGTGTTCACTCACTGCTGTGTCCCCTGCAGGCCAAGCACCTGGCAAGTCAGTACTGGGGGGGCAGCCACACTGCTGCCATCCGTAGAGACCCAAGCCTGCCCTACCTTGAGCAGTACCGGATCGATGCCAGCCAGTTCCAGGAGCTCTTCGCCAGCCTCACTCCCTGGACCTGTGGCTCACACACTCCTGTGCTGGCAGGGCGCATGTTCAGGCTCCTGGATGAAAACAAGGACTCGCTCATCAACTTCAAGGAGTTTGTGACAGGCATGAGTGAGTGAGGGCACCATCCCTATGCTTTCTGGAAAGGTGGATGGGGAAGCAACAAACAGGATGCTAGTAGACCAGGATGTGAAGTAGCCATTAGAAGAGAGATGCAAAAAAAAGGAAGGGGGGAATGCCCCAAGGGTGGTCAGTGGCAGGACCTTGGAGCCCTCTCCAGTGGACCCCTCTCTGGCTTTCTCCACAGGTGGGATGTACCACGGGGACCTGACAGAGAAGCTCAAAGTGCTGTACAAACTGCACCTTCCCCCAGGTGAGCGCCTCCCCTCCCACTCCTCAGAACTAGGCTGCCAGAACAAAACACCACAAAGTGGAGGCTTTGAAAACCAGAACTTTGTTATTCCAGAGATCTGGAGGCTCAAAGTCTTGATTTTAAGGCTTTGACACACTGCTTTTCCTAACGCCTCTGGGGGAGGACCCTTCCTTGTCTCTTCCAGCTTCCGGCGCCCCTGGGTTTCTTGGAGTTCTTGGATTAGAGGTGTGTCTTCACATGATGTCTTCTCCACTGTGACTCTGTCTTTTCTCATTGTGTATATGTTGCTGTTTCTGGGTCCTGTCAAGTCAGCTCAACTGACAGTGACACTGCAGGGTGGCGTAGAACTCCTTCTAGAGTTTCCTAGGCTAAAACCTAGGGTTTCCTAGGCTAACCCTAGGGGGTTCCAGTTCACTGCACATTAGCAGCCAAGCGCTTAACCATTGTGCCACCAAAGCTCCTCTATATAAAACTGACCCAGTGCCATTGAGTTGATTTAAACTCATAGCAGCCCCATAGGAAAGAGAAGAACTGCTCAAACTGGATTTTCAGAGTGCTCGTCTGTACAGAAGTAGCTGCCTCACCTTTCTTCTGCAGAGTTTGAACCGCCAGCCTTTCATTTAGCGTCCAAGTATTTAACCATTGTGCCACAGGGCTCCCATGTCTTATATAAGGCCCAGCTATTTAAGATAACCCATGCTACTCCAGTGTGACCTGGTTAAGTTGGCTGTTATGATCTACAAAGGAAAACCACATTTGCCCAAACAAGGTCATACAGATAGAGGGGATAGGACGTCAGCATACCCCTTTACCATCTTGTTCTGAGGGGCAGAACCAGAGGCGCTGCTTTTGTGCCGTATTCTCACCTATAGCTGACCCCCCCCCCACCCTTTAATGACATCAGGAACAGTGAGTGGTCTCTGGTCCCTCCAGGAGAAAGTGAAAGATTTGTCCCCAGGACTTCTTGAATCTGACTCAGGGGAAGGAGGAGGCCAGGGTTAGACAGAACCCTTCTGGGCTAGATCTGCAGGTGAGGTTGCGTCAACCTCCCTGCACCCCCTGCCTGCCCTGGCCCTCCCTCCTGGGCTCACTTACGGTCTCACATGTGCAAGCACCCCTCAGGAGCCAGGCTAGACGAAACCTCCCAGTGCCCCTGGGACTCTGTTCATGGCTGCAGAACCCCCCACGCACACACACACATACATAGCGTCCAGGGCTGGCTGGTATGTACTGGAATGGAAGGGTTCCCAGGATATGACAGAAGAAAGCAGTGTGCACAGCTGAGGCCTTCTAGTGTCTGTAGGAACAGTCTGAGGATACGGAGCCAGCTTGCTGTTAGGTAGAGGAGAGCAATTTATCTGCCTGCCCTTTGCTCCAACTGTTTCAGACACTGTGTATAAGTGAAAAATACATACTGAAGGTCCGTCTTTGCTGTGAGCACACTGCCACGTGTTGTAAGTGGGTCCCAAGCTGTGGAACTGACCACGCCAAAGCCTTGACCCAGGACTCTCAAGGTGCTCTAGCTTTAGAGTATTAACTTGGTGTCAAGAATCCCTTTTCTGTCTACCCCACCCTTAATTTTCCTTCTCTGAGCACAGCTCTGAATCCTGAAGAGGCCGAGTCAGCCCTGGAGGCAGCCCACTATTTCACGGAGGACAGCTGTTCAGAAGGTGAGCCAACTCCCCTGTCCACACCATGAAGTGGCCAGTCTCCTCCTGACCCACAGAGGTGGACCCTGCCAGGAATGGCCTGCAGGCCTGGGCCCTGCCATGAGGGGATGGAAAAATGGCCTCTCTCCCCAAGTACCCCATTCTCTTTGAGGCTTATATCCCAGGGTACCCCACTCTCCCAGAGGTGACCTTTCCTGAGGGTGCTCTCCTCTTGAAGCCTTTCTCCCTAAGGTGCCAACCCCTCTGTGTTCTCACTCCTGTCTCTCTATGTCTCTGCTTCCCTGGACCTTGGCCTACCCTCCCTGTGCCCTCTTCTCCTCTCCTGTCCCCTCTAGCTTCTCCTCTGGCCTCAGATCTGGATCTTTTCCTGCCCTGGGAAGCACAAGGTCAGTTCTAGGGCCACCAAAGTTCCCCCTGGTGCTTAGCTTCCCCATAGCCTCTGGCTTAGCCTCATGCCATCTCCCCATCGTCTGCAAGCCCTCTGGGAATCCACTGTGGAAAAAGTCTAGGGACTGAGACCTTCGTTTATTGTGTCTGGTGGGGCCAGTTAGGAAACAATTACAGCACAATGGGATATAGCTCAAGTGCAAGGGGGATTAGCTTGCATCCATATGTCCAGTTTAGTTTGATATCATTTTCCTAGATTCATAATTCTAAATTCTGTGATTACACCAGTGTAGATGGAGCTGGGCATGTGGGTGCTTGAGGGGACTAGTTGGTAGATACTTGCTTTGAAAAGTTTTTTTAATGTCCCACATAATCTTTGTTAAGGACAAATGCATCTCTTGAATGCCTCTCAGGACAAAGCCCTGTGCTACACTTAAAAGCCACTCAGAAGCATCTGATCCAGGGAAATGCAGTGCTGTGGTCCCTGGCGTTTTAAGTATTGAATTTCTACTACCAGCTGAGAGATCATGGCAGTCCTGTGTCATAGGCTTACCTAAATATCAGGTTTTAACGTCTTGATTTCAAGTATACAAACCAAAAAAGCAAGCCAGGAATGCTTGAGGCGTGTTCCTTGCACTCCTGGGAGAGGCCAGGGATCGTGACACAGAACCCTGCCCTCAGAAACACCACATGGCCCCTAACAGCTGTGCCACTCACAGGTCAAATTTGTAATTAGGACTCTCAAGTTTTTCCTTTTTTAACCAAAACTACAGAAATCATTGGTTTGGGGACTTTTTGTCCACAATGTGCATCACCATTCATCCAAAATACAGTGTTAAGCATTTCAAATATCAGGAGGGTCACTGATGATAGAAGCGTTTCAGTGGAGCTTCCAGACTAAGACAAGACTGTGGTTGTGGTGCTGGTGGTGGTAGTGGTAGTAGTGGTGTACCATCGAGTCACAAGACTGAGGTGGTGGTGTGGTGGTGGGAGTGCTGGTGATGGTGGTTGTGGTGTGGTAATCGTGTACCATTGAGTCAGAACCAACCCATAGCAAACCCTCCAGCAGGTTTTCAGAAGCAGTTAATTTCCCAGGAGGAGATTGCTCATTCTTCCCCCTCAGAGCACCTGGTGGACTTGAACCTCCTGGCTTCAGGGATTGCACCATAGCTTCTTGCCATTAGGCCACCACCAAAGCATCTAGAAAGAAAAGGAAAAAATAGAAGTCTTTCTTTAAATGTAACAGCTTATTGAATGTAATCAGGTGACGACTAGACTACAGACTTTCTGGAGCCATTCAGATTTATTTAACCCCTAAAATTACTGCCCTAAGATAAGCTTCCTGGTTTTTTTTTCCCTTCTCTCTTTTTTTTCCTGAGATAAGCTTTAAATCTTAAACCAAAAAAATCCCTGCAGCTAGAGTGCTTCTTGGAGGCAAAGATAATGAAGCTTTGTCTCACATATTTTGGGCAGGTTGCTAGAAGAGTTTATTCCTTAGAGAATGGTCATTCGTGCTTGGAAAGGAGGAATATTGAAGGAGAGGAAGATCCTCAACCAGATAAATTAACACGGTGACGGCTGCTATGGGCTTCAGGGTGTCATAGATTGTGAGGATAGCACTGGATAGGACAGGGTTCAGATCTGTTGTTCATAGGGTTGCTGTGAGTCACACTCAACCTGATGGCACCTAACAACAACAACAAAGACATCTTACAGCTAAACAATAATGTAGCTTAGCTAGTGTAGGGAGCTCTGGCAGCTTTGTCTACAGGGAGTGATGCTGGTAACTCAAAGCCTTGCATCTCTGCCAGTTCAAATTCCCTGGCAGCTCCAAGGGAAGAAGATAGGCAGTCTCCTCCCATGTGATTTACAACCTTAAAAACCCACTGGAGGGTCAGCTATGGGTCAGTTACAGCTTGGCAGCAATGAGAGAGTAAAAAATGTTTGTGTAGCGTTAGGGAGCTCTTGTGACTTAGTCCGTTGAGAGTTGTACTGTTAACCTTTAAGTTAGCAGCACAGCTCTGCTCATTCAAATCCACCAGCAGCTCCACAGGAGAAAGATGAGCCACCTCTTCCCATGTGATTTACAGCTTTGGAAACCCAGAGAAGGCCAGCTCTGAGTTGGTTCCAACTTGATGGCAATGAGGGTTTTTGAGGCTTAGCATTGAGCTCTTTGAAGAACTCTCTAAGTCTATATGGAATCAAATTAACAACCGAAAAGTTTAGCTAGGAACCTTGTGGGGCAATGAATTTATGTTAACCCAGAAGAGCAACTCCGAAAAGGAGCGTGAGAATGGTTTCTTAAAGAATGTAATCAGTGTCACTGACTAGCACATGTGGAAACCATTGGGTTGATGCATGCTTTGCTGTATAGTCCCGGAATATTTTAAAAAAGAAAGGACCAGGCCGTTGCTGCTAATGCTGCTGAGGGCCGACTCCATGTAAGGAACAGCCCACCCCAGTCCTCTCTGAAGGAAAACCACAGACCAAGCCTCCCGAGAAGTCACAGCATAAGAAGAATCGCCTCCATTTCCTTTTCTTTTTCTCCTGGTCTAGAAACACTCCTGCAGGGAGAGCAAGAAGGAGCTGGCAACGAGGATGCCCGAGAAAAAAAAGGAGGTACAGGCAGCGCCCCAGCTGGTGCTATTAGGGACCCTCTCCCACCCTCTGCAAGAGCCCTCTTTGCCCAGGGGAGGTGGCACACTTGGCTGCCAGACCCAGGGCTGCGCCCCAGTGGAATGGGTCCACCGCTGGGCGTGACTACCCAGCTCGGTAGCTGCCCACACAAGCACAGCTGTCCAGCAACCCCAGACTGATACCCCACCATCACCTGTTTTCTGCCAAGACCCTCCAGCTTTGCACACATCCTCCCTTCCAGGCTGAGCCCCTATGAGCCTTCTGAGGGGTTCTCACCACTTTATGGAGGGTAGATATGGACTACCTTTATCAGATTAGATAGAATAGCCTCAGTGAAAGAGCCCCTTGGGTGTTCACAGTCACCATTTCCATAAGGAGAGAGGCATTTCATAATAGGGCCTGAATCGTTCCATTCCTGACAATAGCCAAGCCCACTTCCTGCTACCACCTCCCAGTTCTCATTTTTTTCCTGTATGGATGGAGATTAATCTCTTTTTTCCCCCCTCACCTCAAAGAGAAGGGGACCAGCCCTCAAGACTGTCGCCACTACCTTCGAATGTGGGCCAAGGAGAAGGAGGTTCAGAAGGAGACCATCAAGGATCTTCCCAAGATGAATCAGGTAGACCCGAGAGTACTAACCAAAACTGGGGTCAGACAGCTGTCACACATACACACACACACCCACCTCTCCCAGCACTCTTAGCACGCTGCTACACACTCACTCTCTTTTCTCCCTGCCCCCCACTCCCCAGCGCTCTTAGCATGCTGCTTCTGTTGGGCGAGACCCTCTTCCTCTTCCCAGAACCTAGAACCCTCAATCTAGATCGGCAGTCAGCAGTGATTTGAGAAAGATAATGACTAAGAATTCAAAGCATGATGTGGGTGTTGTTTCCATTATTATGATGTACCCGTATTTCATACACATTTGTTAATTAGAGATGTATGGGGAAAGGTTATTTGCAAGGCTTCCCAAGTCCCAGCTCAGGGTTCAGCACAAAAGAGCAACTCCCTTCTCCCCTCCACTGCCTCCCCTCCCACTACCCCATCGCCCCACCCCCTCCTCCTCACCCCACCCCCGCCCACACAGCTGAAGGGGCAGGGGTGCTGCTGCCCATTTTGTTGATCCCATGTGTCTAAGTATAGCCCTGGGCCAGGCTCTGTGTCTCACCTCCACTGGCAGGCCTGGAGAACAGGAACAGAGGAAGTGTCAGGTTGAAGGGCTGACCCAGACTCTTTTCTCATGGACCCAGTTTGTGCTTATGGCCACCTCGAGAGCCTTCTTGGAAGATAAGAGCTGACATTGCTTCTAATAAAAAATTATCAAAAGCCTGAGATGATTGTGACACACAATGAAGGCCTCATGGTAGTTTGGTTTGGAACATCACAATTAAAATAGATCTTTCTCTGCTAACTGAATGAGTGTGGATAGAGGGCAAAACCCCAAATCAGCCACATCAGAGAGAGAGAGAGAGAGAGAGAGAGAGTGTGTGTGTGTGTGTGTGTGTGTGTGTGTGTGTGTGTGTGTAGACAGAGCTGGAAAACAAAGTCCTTTATTTTTGTTTTTGTTGTGGTAAGATAGATAGAACAAAATATTTGCCTCCACAGTCATTAACACATGTACAATTCAATGAAATTAACTAATGTGCACCATCTTGTACATCCATCATCATTATCTCCTTCTAAATATTTTCATCTTCCTTAGTAGAAGCTCTGCGTCTTCTTCATTAACTCTTCATTTCCCCTCCCATCTGGCCTGGAAACTGCTAATAATTTTTTTTCCCTCTGTACACTTGCCTGTTCTTGCTGTAGTTTGTGTGCCACTGAGTTGGATTTGACCCATAGCTAACTCTCCAGCAGCTTCTCAGAGGCAGTAAATTACACAAGAGGAAGATGGCCCATCCTTCTCCCTCTGAGCAGCTGGTGGATTCGAACTACGTGCCTTTAGAATTGCAGTGCTGCTTCTTACCACTAGGCCACTAGAGCTCCTCATACGTCATATGTATGAAATCATCCCATATTTGGCCTTTTGAATCTTATTTTTTACACTCAGCATAATATTTTAAGGCTCATCCATTCCATGTATCCGAACTTCATCTATTTTTATAACTGAATAATCTTTCATTGTTTGCATATACCAGCCTTTGTCTATAGGTAGACACTTGGGTTATTTCTACCTTCTTGTCTGATCTGATTAATGCTTCATTGAAGACTGGTGTGCAAGTATCCTGCTCTCAGTTATTTTGAATGTATACCTGTTGCTGTTATGTGACATCGAGTTGTTTGCCACTCATAGCGACCCTATGTACAAGAGCCCTAAACGCCGTTCTATCCTGTGCCAACCTCGCTGTCTCAAACACATTTATTCCTACCACTCCACTCACAGAATCAATCCATCTCATCGAGGGTCTTCCTCTCCCTCCACTCTCCCAAACATGATGTCCCTCTCCAATGACCAGTCCCTCCTTGTGACATGCCCAAAGTATGTCAGGTGAAGCTTCAGAATCCTTGACTCCAGGGAACATTCTGGCTTCACCTCTCCAGGACAAACCTGTTTGTTCTCCTAGCAGTCCATGGTATATTCAACACTCTTCTCCAACACCACAACTCAAATGCATCAATTCTCTATCATCCCTATTCACTTGTCCAACTCTCTGATGCATAGCACGTAATTGCAAAGACTATAGCCTGGATCAGCAGGCTGTAGCACCTTAGTCTCCAGCCTGATGTCGTTGCACTTCAGTACTTTTGAGAGGTCCCTCACAGCTGCCTTTCCCAATGCAATTCGTCAGTGTATACCTAGGAGTAGAATCGCTAGATCCTAAGATAAATTAGGGAACTCTGATAGTCTAGTGGTAAGAAGCTGTGCTGCAATCCCAAAGACACACAGTTCTAATCCATCAACAGCTACACAGGAAAAGAATGAGCAGTCTCCTCCCGTTTTATTAACTGCCTCTGAAAACCTGCTGGAGGGTCAGCTATGGGTAGCTTCTGACTCGATTGTACATAACAACTACAAGATAAATTCTGTAACTTTTTAAGGAACTGCCATAAAGCAGCCATTTTATAGCACCATCAACAATGAATGGAAGTTTAAATATTTTCACATCCTCACCAAAACTTGTTTTCCATTCTGAGACAGTCCTTTTAAGGGCTCTGTAACATCGGTAAACTTCCTTTCCTACTTGGTCTCCTAACCTGTGAAATAGGGATGATACATGCACAGGTTTGTGGCGGTGAGTGACAAGATAGTACTGGTTAGAATGACAGCATCATCAGTCTGACTGAGAAGGGTGTACTCTGCCCCACAATTCACTATTTCCCTCTTCTCTTTGTGTTTTTCTCCTAAAAAGGAGCAATTTATTGAGTTATGCAAGACACTTTACAACATGTTTAGTGAAGACTCCATGGAACAGGACTTGTACCATGCCATCGCCACTGTGGCCAGCCTCCTGTTACGCATTGGTGAGGTGGGTAAGAAGTTTTCAGTCCGGATGGGCAAGAAGCCCAAGGACAGTGCCTGTGGTGGGGACCACAACGAAGATGCTGTACAGGAGGACTCCTCAGAGCCTGAGCCCCATCAGGACCCAGCTCAAGAGCCTCAGCCACCAGCTGCAGGGGACCCCCAGGCCAAAGCTGGTGGAGACACCCATCTTGGGAAGACGCCACAAGAGAACCAGGTGGTGGGCGAAGGGGGCAGCGGTGAAGGACAGGGTTCGCCCTCCCAGTTTCTGTCTGATGATGAAACCAAAGACGACATGTCCATGTCTTCCTACTCCGTGGTCAGCACAGGCTCGCTGCAATGTGAAGACTTCCTGGACGACACAGTGTTGGTGGGCGGAGAGGTCAGCAACCACATGGCCACTGCTCGCTGCGAAGGCACCGTTGACGCCGACTGGTGCATCTCCTTTGAGCAGATCCTGGCCTCCATCCTGACAGAGTCTGTGCTGGTGAACTTCTTTGAGAAAAGCATAGACATTGGGCTCAAAATCAAGGACCAAAAGAAAGTGGAGCGGCAGTTCAGCACGTCCAGTGACCACGAGCAGTCTGGGGTTTCTGGCTGATCCCTGTCCCAAGTGGCTCAGATCAGGCTGCAGAAGTGGGGCTGGCCTCTAGTTTTCTGCTTCCCTCCCTCTGCTTCCCATTTCTCTTTTCTTTCCTTAGAGATCACCCCTCAGGTTTCCCCAGAAGCAGCAAGATTTGTAAGTGGAAAGAAGGCTGATGCAGACCCAGTTGCCTTAGATGGATTCCCCAGGCCTACGGTGGTCCTCGCTGCTCCAGCTTCCTCTCTGCGTGGCAGGAACCCACCTGAGCCTGGGCTGCCCGCTGCATAGTCTCAGAGGTTCTCAGATCTGCCTCTGCTTGCCTGACGCCCTCTGCACCTGTGCTTTCTGCAGTTGTGTGCGGAAATGGTGTGACAGACCACACTGTTCTCTGTTCTTGGGACACTCTACTGTGCTGTGCGATCCAGGGCCCTTTTCTGCCATTTATCACCAGGTAGGGAGTCATGTACTTGGTGGACACCAACCAAAGTGAAACTTTCAAAAGGGCTGTCCAGCAGCCCCTGAGCATGATCCCCTACCAGAGGCTGAGAGAAGACTGAGGAACATGAGGCAAAAAACAGGAGAATGTCGGTGAGAGATGTGGTGTTACTTTAAATGCTCTTTCTGTCCATCGTACTCATCATTAACTTCAGAAGCACATCTCTCAGGTCCAGATATATTTCCTTGTATTCATTTCACTTGCCTCAAAAATCACACTGTGCTCAATGCCTTAATAAATCCCCGAAAGAAATAGAAGCCACACTGTGTACAGTGCCTAAAGGAGTCCCCTCTGCACTGCGTAGCCCTGCTGGCCTCCCTGGCAGTTAACTACCAGACCCCAGAATATGGGACACAAAAAAGGGCAGATTGAGACTGGGAAGGGCCTGTGTTCACCTGTAGCAGAAGAGGTGGTCTAAGTGTAGGGGAGGATACTGCACCTGAGCTGCAGAAGCTGAGGTGAGAGCCCTTGCCTGCAGCAGGATATGGGACCACTCTTGTCTCTGTTAATAAAGAGGTGTCTCTCTGGCCATGTTTTTAATGGGTCATTTCTACTGAAATATAATTTATAGGCCACTGAATTAACTTGGTTTTCATTTACAATTCAGTGATTTTTGCTAAGTTTACAGAGTCCTACAATCTGCTTTTAGAATGTTTATATCAATCCAAGCACCTCTGGTGGCAAAGTAGCAAAGAGCTGAGCTGCTAGTGGAAAAGTCAGCGATTCCTTTCACTAACTGCTCCTCAGAAGGAAGATGTGGCATTCTGCTTTTGTGAAGATTTGCAGACTTAGAAATCCTGTGGGCAGCTCCACTCTGTCCAGTGGGGTCCCTGGGAGTTGGTGTCGGCTCAGTAACAATGGGTTTGGTTTTGTGATTTTTCTGTCCAAGGACAATGACTCCTGCCCATTTGTAACCATTCCCTGTCACCACCCCTTGGCCCAGACAGCCTCTAATCTTTCTGATTCTCTAGTCTTTAAGACTGCTTTAAAGTAGCAGAAGCTGGCAGATACTGTACATGATTTTACTTTGTTCACAATTGTTATGTCGCATCCTCAATAAATGCAGTAAAGAACATCATGGAAACAACCAACAACTGTTTTCATTTTAAAAATAATAAATTAGACAATATTTCCTTTTGCTGTGTATATACTGACTGAACACGTGTTACCATATGATATTTTTGGTACACTTCAAAGGACTTAGCCCAAAATGGCTATATCTTTAGGTGTAATGCAATTAAGATACACTTAAGAAACCTGCACATACAGCAGTTTAAAAACCTTAAAATTATTATAATCAGTTAAAAATATTTGAAATTATTTGGAGTTAGTGAAAAACTTTAGATACCATACTTTAGATATAAACTTGTGAATACTGGAAACAAAAAAAAAAAATGTTTACAGAGCAAATTGTAAACCATTAAACCACATACATTTGACTTTGTAATATTAATAACAATACCCACAATGTGACCTGCATACTTCCTACTTCCTCCCTTGATTCCCATCTCCATGAATTATTTTATCCTTTCTTGCCTTCTGAACTCTGTCCCTACATAAATGCTACTTTTTTGACCTTATGTGGTTGATTATTCTAAGAAGGGAACATCTTCCTGGCCTTCTAGGCCTGTGTATTTTTTTGTTGAAAAAATGAGGGGGGGGAGGGCTGGGCAGGGAGAGAAGTGCAGCAATGAATGAATGGAAATCCAAAATCTCTGTAAATGCTCATTAAAATTATTTTAAAAAAATGAGCTAGGAAAGTATTTAGTTTCAGGTTTGAAGGATGACTAAAGTCTCAGTAAGATGATCTTTTTTTATGGTTTTGGTTTTGATTCCATAAAAATGTACAGTGCTCATTTCACCTTTTAATCTTAATTTGGGATGACATTAAAAACACTGATATTAAATTACATACTAGAACAGTACTTGACAGCACTTAACAACAACAAAGAGAGAGGTCAGTTGGCCTAGTAGACAAGAAAGTGATGCTACCAAGTCAAAGGTGGGTGATTTTAATCTGTGGCCCTCAGGCCAGTTTTAATTGTTTTTGGTCAAACATTCTTCTAAGTGGCATAGCCCTGGTCTGTCCCATTTACCGTACAGAGGTAACTTGTGGTTGCTGTGATGTGTGTGTGACACTGATGTGTCACATGCATTAATGGTCACCCATGGTGGACAGTGGTGGAGCTCCCTGATTAAAACAAGCTTGGAAACAGGAGTGGCATCCACTTCCAAAATAGTTTGCCTCCAGAAACCCTGTGGACTTGGAGAAACAATTAAAGTTATACAAGTGTCCAGATCTTTCGCTCATAGGGTCACAATGAGTTGCCTATGACTCGACGGCATTTAACAGCAGAACAGTACATCAGCAGAGAACTGCCAGAGGTTTAAGCTAGATTTAGAAAAGGCCATGGCACCAGAGATATATCATTGCTGATGTCAGATGAATGCTGTTACCATGAGTATTGATTGTGGATCCAAGTAAAATGAAATTCTTGACAACTTGCCTTTTCTCCATCTATTACAGTGTTGCCTAGTGGTTCACTGGTGAAGATTTTTTATTCATTTATTTCCTCTTAAGAGTCTGAAGATTCTCCTCCCTTTCAGCGAGCAAGATTATGTTATCTGCGTAATGCAGACTGTTAATGAATCTTCCTCCAGTCCTGATGCCATATTCTTCATAGAGTACAGCTTCTTGAAGGGTATGGCTGTTGAGAGAGAAAACAACAAAATTGGGTTTTGCACTGAATTATGTTGTTACATTATTAGTAACGAGGAGAAAACCTTTTTCTTTTCCTTTACTATGGTCTCAAAAAAGGTATTGATGTAGTTCACACATACTAGTTACTACAGTATTACAGCTAAAACATAAAATTTATAAAATCAATGATTGATTTTGAGAACACTGACAGCAGTGAAAATAATAGGGTGTGTTTGTAGAGGGGCAGACGAAACTAGAAGCACCACGCGGGGAGGACTCTTTTCCAGCAGCACCACAATGCAGAAGTCAATTCTTTTGTAGTCTTCATTGACTTCCCAGCTCTGAATGCTTGGTTGTTATCATCAAGTTGGAACCAAGTCTTAGATGACCCACCGGCAGGTTTTCAGGGGTAGTAAATTGCACATGACAGAGAGCTCTGATGGCAAGCAAGAAGCTGCGCTGCAATCCCGAAAGCATGTGGTTCGAGGTCACCAGCTGCTCTGTGGGAGAAAGATGGATACTCATAAAATTAACTGCCTCTGAAAACCTACCAGAGGGTTAGCTCTGTGTCTGTTCCGACTCTATGGTGCACAAGAAGTTGCTCATGAGGAGACTGCCCATCTTTCTTCTGCAGAGCAGCTGGTGGATTTGAACCACAGGCTTTGAGATCGCAACACAGCATAGGAAATAATTGAAAAGGCTATGACTTGAATAGTCATCTTAATCTTGAAACTGACATCATTGCTTTTTGGCATTTTGGAAAGCTGGTCAACTTTCCCAGTGCAACACATCTTTTGATTTCCAGATCAAGTTTGTTGATTGTGGTTCCAAGTAAGATGAAATCATTGACAATATATCCTCTGAGCGTCTTCTACTGTGGTTGGTACAGGAGACTAATTATTCAGAATGTCTTTCCTAATAATTGGTTTTGACTTTGAATGTAAAAGTTGGGAACAGAGAAGAAGATTCAGTAGTTGGAAAACATGAACTTGGTGACAGAAATGGAGCTGGAGAGAGAATGATTGAATTTTGCACAATCAATAACTTATTTGTTGCAAATACATTTTTTTTGGCATTTTTAATTTAGGTTTGTTTTATTTAAGTTTAATGTTAATTCCATGCTGTGTTTCAGTAAGAACAATACAGATTCTGTATCTGTGGCTCCAGTCAGATATCCAGTAGTACAAATTAGCTTCAAGTTACACATACTGAAAGAAAGAGGTTGAGCGAGCGAAGAAGGGAAGGAGTAGGGTGGGG